TTTACTGTTATTTAATGTATATGACTGTCCCTGATGTACTTGATATATTCTTTCTGTACTCTCATCAGTTGTGCTGCTTGTTATTGTATACCTTGCTGTTTTGTGCATTTAAAATGTTCAATAAAAAAAAAATGTATCAAAAATATTATCAGACTCATATATCAGTTTGTTCTCACTGTCCAGTTGTTTTAATTATGATAGACTGATTTATTAAAATGCTTTACAGGCGATGTGTAACTTGTGTCCATGGTTCAACCTCCATTCGACATGAACTCTCATGTAAATCAGCAACATATCAGTTTGACCTGTCCCTCTAACTACAGAGGCTAAATAAATTCTGTCTGACTATAAGGTTCATATTATCGGAGGAAAAAACACAAGACAACAGCTTTCATTAAAGATCAGTCAGATACAGTCAGGGCTTCACATCTGTACAGATGTTATTTTAAGAATCCTCACATCTCACTGACCACAAGTCTCTGTGATGCTAAATAGGCCACTTCAATAATTAAAACAGTCTGTTGTTAATATACAATAGAGTACGTGTAGTTTATGATGAATGTATTTAGTCTCTAACAACTGAACTTCACCATCAGTCACATAACATGTTTTCTGTGAACAGAATAAAACTTCAAATCAGACAAATGAAATTAAAATCTCTGAGTTTATCTAAAAGGTCATATTATTGAGTCAACATCTAAACCAATTAGCTGTTAGACCAGGTGAGAGCCAGGCGTTTCCCATGATGCCCTGGGTCTTTTCAAAGCTCTTTTGGCTCGGCTCCCTTAGAAGAGCCGGCTCTTACGGCTCTGAAACGGCTCTTCTTTAAGTATCACTCGGAGACTTATATTTTAACCTAATTTAGCAATTATGAATGGTTTGTGTGTTGGTGAGCAATTTCTCATTCAGTGTTTTCATAAAAGCCTTATTTTATGCAGGGTTTTTTTTTTCGTTACAAAAAAAAAATACACAGTTATTGTTGTTTAACATTTTGATCAAACCTTTGAATGAACAACTGAACACAGGACCACAGCAACCACAGTAAACAAATCAAATAAATAAAGGCAACAAACAAATCAAATAAATAAAGGCCAGAATCTTAACATTATGACTTTAGATAAAAGTCTTTAGTGCAGGTTGGCATTCAGAAACACCAGATGCCCCAGCTTGGATGGGCTGATGGGATTTCTCTCCTCTGTGATTATTTTTCCTGTTTTTGAGAAGACTCTCTATGAGGGGACCAATGCGGCGACGATGCAGAGTCTTCCTGCCATTACCTTAACCAGGCCTGGGTAGACTGAAGCCTCACCTCCAGTACCTCCAGCAGACCTCTTTCACTGTCTCCCATTCCTCTTGACTTAGAGTATCATCAAGAGCGTTGATGATAGCCAGGGTGGAGATGATGGCATCTTTTGACTCCAGGATACATTTCAACATATAAAATGTTGAGTTCCACCTTGTAGCACACTCCTGTTTGGGCTTTAGCTCTGGCATCCCCATCTGGCGTTGCGTGGACTTCAGCTTCTCTGTAGCAACCGTGCTTTTGTGGAAAAACTCTACAATAGCCTTCACCTTGTCCACAGTTGGTTTCCCTCAGCCTATCTTTAACCATCAGGTTTATTGTGTGCGCAAGACATGGGTGGTGGGTCCACTGCAAAATTTGTATTGCTTTTGTTATGTTTGCTGCAGTATCAGTAACACAACCTTAACTTTGGTACTTGTCCCACCGAGTTTCCCCCTGATGCCGCTGGGCACCATCAAACTATAACAGCAACCGGCCACGTATCATGCCGACGTTGAAAGACACCTTTTTTCTTGGTTTCTGACCCTGCAAGTCACTGCCCAAGCACCAAATACTTGCTCTTGAGTGTGTTTTGTTGTCATGTCACCTATATAATATTACAGATTTTTATCCAGGCGACTGTGGCTCAGGAGTTAGAGTGGGTTGTCCACCAATCAGGAGATCAGCACTTTGATCCCTGGCTCGATACTGAACCCCAAATTGCTCCAGATAGCTGTTCCATTGGTGTGTGTGAGTGTTAAAAACTGGGTAGCCAGTGACACCTTGTATGGTAGCCTCGGCCACCAGTGTATGAATGTGTGTGTGAATGGGTGACTGTGACTCGTAGCGTAAAAAGCTCTTTGAGTGGTCAGAAGACTAGAAAAGCACTATACAAGTGCAGGTCCATTCAATGCATTTATCTTACTACTTTACAAACTGTTGTGGAGTTTAAGCCATGAAAATGCATCACACTGAATGTGGTTCATTTCTGAGAAGTGCACTGGATTGGAATACAGTAACATAAAATGGAAATACTCAACACCTCAAATTTGTACCAAAGTACAGTACTTCAGTAAATATACTTAGTTACACTCGCCCACTGTTTGGAGTTCAAATGAAAACAGTAACTGAGAATGGAACTAAAACACTGATGTTATGTTCCGTCTCTGGGGCAACATGGAACACGTTAAAGTTTGTAAATACATGTGGGCACAGAGCTCCAAGCTCATTCCTGCACAAACCCTTGGAGAGGTAAGACACACTTTTTACCAGAAAAAACTGTTTGTCATTAGATTTTTTTATGTTCAGTTGTGATGGGAGATGAGTACATTTACTTTCCACACATTTTTCTGTTAAGTAAATTGCTGTTTTCATTAGTTACAATCAGAACATCAGCACAGTAACATGTGCTGTAGTCAGGAGATAAAAATGCACATGTTGTCTTTTAAAACACAATTTAAATTTGTCAACTGAAAAATCAAGATTATTTAATAGGTATTTTACTAAAAACGACTCCTCCCTTTGTTATCCCTGTGTGGATCACAAAATGTTTTTTTGTCATGTTACAGAAAAAGCTTTTCTTGAACTTCTTGTGGAAAACAATTATTTCATTGTAGCACTGACATTCATGTTCTGTTTTGATTTTCAAAGTAGTATCACCTATATTATCAATATTACTGTTATAATCATTATTATATTACTGTAACCACACAATTAACTGCATTACTGCATTGCAACAATACTGTGTTAATGGATGTAATGATTTTAGATGTGTAACGTGTCAGTTACAGTTGTGCAATACTTGATTTTAATTTTAAACAACAGTACTGTATTTAGTCTTTTCAGTGTGAGTTTTTAGTGTAATCATAGTTTTGGTAGACCTGCTTTTAGAAATGAACCTTTACTTGTTTTTCTTATGGCACAGTGTAATGACCTGAGAAATATTTCTCGATTTCAATTTTAGCTCAGTTAAACAATTCCCCTCAGGATAAATAAAGTTTTAGTTTTTAAGTCTTATCTTCAGATTTAGTGGAGTTAGAAAGTCAGTTAAGAATTTGTTCATTGTGCTGCTTGAAAAAATCTGATCACAAGTGAAATAATTGTTGTGTGTGTTTGTGTCTGCAGTTTTCCAACGTCAGTGTCAGAAATGATCATTGAGAGAATACTACGATCCATTTTTTCAAGACCTTGGTCTTCAGGAGATATGTATAAACTAAGGGGTGAGAGGCCTTCGTCTCCTGAAGACTTCAACCCTCCCACCATCTGGAGGGAGCACGAACGAGGGGGTGAGAGACCCTCGTCTCGTGGAGGCACCAAACCGTCTGCCATGAAGGAGCACAGATCAAGGGGTGAGAGCCCTTCGTCTGGTGACAACAAGGCTTCTGAGACCTGGAGGAAGCAGGGACGAAGGGGTGAGAGACCTTCATCTCGTGGAGACTTCAACCCTCTCACCATCAGGAGGGAGCAAGAACGAGGGGGTGAGAGCCCTTCGTCTTGCGAATATAACAAGTTCTCCGCCACCCAGAGGCAGCAGGGACAAAGGGGTGAGAGCCCTTCGTCTTCTGAAGACAGCCAGTCCTCCACCACCCGGAGGCAGCAGGGACAAAGAGGTGAGAGTCCGTTGTCTTCTGACAACAAAAAGTCATCCACCACCCAGAGGCAGCAGGGACGAAGGGGTGAGAGTCCTTCATCTTCTGACAACAACAAGTCATCCACCACCCAGAGGCAGCAGGGACGACAGGGTGAGAGCCCTTCATCTTCTGGAGACTTCAGTCGTGGAGACTTCAACCCTATCACCATCTGGAGGGAACACAAACAACGGGTTGAGAGTCCTTCGTCTTGTGAATATAACAAGTCCTCCACCACCCAGAGGCAGCAGGAACGAAGGGGTGAGAGCCCTTCATCTTCTGGAGACTTCAACCCTCTCACTATCTGGAGGGAACACAAACAACGGGGTGAGAGTCCGTCATCTTGTGAATATAACAAGTCCTCGTCTCCCAACCACAACGAGCCATCTACCACCCACAGGCAGCAGGGACAAAGGGGTGAGTGCCCTTCCTCTCCTGACCACAACAAGCTCTCTACCACCCAGAGGCAGCAGGGACGAAGGGGTGAGAGCCCTTTGTCTTCTGCAGACTCCACCAACCAGTGGATTGATTATGATTTCTTGGTTTGGCTGTGGAACTGGAAGGAGAGAAAACGAGAGGAGCAGGAGGAGAGAAAACAAGAGGAGCAGGAGGAGAAGGAGAGGATGGATAGGATGGAGAGGATGACAAAGGCGAGAGATGAGCTGTGGGGGGAGATGGCAAGATTAGATGAATTGAGGAGAGAAAGAATGGAACGACAGATGAAGGAGGAGAGAGAAAGACGGGAAAGGGGGCCTGATAAAGAGCATTTGAAGAGGTTGGAAATGGAGAGGAAAAGACAGAGGGAGGAGGCGAAAGAGAGAGAGAAGATGGACAAGCAGGAGAAAAAAAGACAAAGGAAGGAGGAGAAAAAGAGGCTAAAGATGGTGAAGAATGAGATAAAAAGAGTGTGGAAGGAGGAGAGGAAAGAGAGAAAAAGACAGAGGAAGGAGAGGATTGAAAAAGGGTGGAGGGAGAGAGAGATCCAGGAGGACTGGGGAACTTTTGTTCTCTTTAAAAGAGTCCAAATTGCATGGCGCAAATCTTGGAAAGACAAGGTCACAGTAATCAATCAGCAGGAGCATCACCTCCTACAGAGAGGTAAGAAAGTCAGCTGGCATTCCACCCTACTAGTCTAACTTTGTGATGTGGCACCAGACCAACATGTGCTCTGTAACAACATGACAAAATGATACAAATGAAGCCTATTGACTCTTTCCTGTTCAGAGGTGTGCAGGTGCACAACTGGACTCCAGACTTAACCTTTTATATGCTGTTAATTTCAGGTGGCAGGAATGCGGAGAAGGAGACTGCAGAAACAGAACAGGAAGTGAAGTGGGCAGAGTCTAGGCAAGAAGTGAAGAGAAAGAGGAAGGAAAAAAAGAAGGAGGATGGCGGCAACTCAAACGCCCTTCAAAAATTCTTCAGGGCATCGCCACACAGATGTGATAACTTCATATAAACGCACCTTTCCTGCCCACTTACTCACCTGCATCGCCCAGGAACCAGCCTTTCTCCAACACTGGTGTCCACCACTAGTTTTTTGAGTTTCTTTCACAACAGCGACTGCTGCTGCTGAAAATAGACTAATAAATCAATACATTTTTAGAAAAAAGTTTGATAAGTGAAAGTTTTCTTCATTTTTTCTGAGTCTGTCTGGCAAACACAAATAATTAAAACATGGCCCTGTGTATAAACTGAAAACCAACTTTGACAGTGAAAGGCTGACGGATCTGACCTTGTAGGGCTGTACCATGAAGCCAGTTCAACAGAGCCAGGCTTTCTTTGCCTGATTTGGCTCGACAAACCTTAAAGCCGCGCTCAGAGATGATGGGTACCATGAAGGTGGTTATTAACTTGCTCTGTTAACCCAGGCTTTCTTCTTCAGGCTCTGTGCACGCTCTCATAAAATAAGTCAAATGAAGCAGTCAGTGCAACCTTGCATATTAAATAAAACAATATTCAAATTCATTTAAGTGGAATTTGTAACTATAACCAGATTTTGTTGATATTTAATTTTACAAAATGTTGCAGTTTCTTGCATTTCCCGTGCAATGTAAATTGTTTCCAGTGTCAAAATCTATTTTTCTTATTGAACAGTATTTTTTTTACACGCAATGAAGTATAATCCATAACCACAAAAACACTAAACATACAAGGCACATCAGGAAGGAAAGATAAATTCTATAAAATAAAATATAATAACATAGGCATCAAGGTGTAGAAAAGAGAGGGAAAAAGTTAAATAAGTTAAATAAAATTCACTTCAGTTCAATAGAGCTTCAGTTACAGTCACACAAAATACAGGAACAACCATTAATTAATTAAAAAGAAAACAAAACAACAGTGGGTAACCCAGGTCAGGATCACACACTGAGGCCAGTTTTTAAAACAGTAGGGTGATAAATATCAGTCAAAAAACTATATAAAGTAAACCAGTGCCTTATAGAGTAACATAGAAGTCAGATAAGTACAAGAATTACAATATGGACTAAAATATAAAAAAAATGCATGATAATCAATGTTATATTGTATATAACATCGAGAAGTAGTATTGCACATGAGTTTGAGAAAATGATATTGCGGTACACTGATAAGTGATCTTGACACTGAAAAGTAATATTGCAAATAACAATAAATAAATAAATAAATAAATAAATAGTAAATAAATAGATAAATGTGGCATGCACTCTTCCATTGTTAGTCTGGGGTCCTCAAATAATTCCAGTTTTTTTTCTGCCTGAGGGTCTTAAGGGCTCTACATCTGCTGAAACTTTTAAACATAATCTCAAGATGCATCTTTTTTTATCATTGCTTTCTCCTGAAATGTATTTTAACTGATGGTTGTTTTATCTTGTCGCAGCCTGTAGTCCAAAAGGTCCCTTTTAAAAACAGAGAAAAGGGTGTCGTTTTCCCCCATTTGGATGCGTGACGTCATATATGGACGTGGAAGGTCCATGACCAAAGGTCGATATGTGTCGAGGTCAGAGTGAGAATGTGTTGCTACTGTAAACACAGCTAAAGCACGAACACACACTGTCGTGTCTTACCCCAAGTAAGGAAAATTAGGGTTCCAAGAAAGAAAGAAAGAAAGAAAGGGAAAGAAAACAAACTGACTCCGAAACATTTTTTCAAAAGATGTGTGAGAGAAACATATGGATCAAGAGAGGAAGGCCAGGGAACCCGCAGAGACTGCTTATGCATACAATAAATGCACACTGTATGTCCCAGTGCATCACGTGGCATGCAGTTCCAACTTTGGCCACTGAGACAAAATCTCCCCATACCTGTTGTCCCTAGCCCTTTTTAGACAGGAATTGTGCAAATTTGCAGGAAAGCCCAATCAGTCTTCTTTCAGCATTGGCAGTATAAAAACAAAATCAGGGAGTGCGGCAAAATGCCGCCTGCCTACTTTTGCTTATATAGAATGTGTCTAAGTAACAAAACGTGTAGCTCAGCATGTGACGTAACCAGTGATGTGGGAGGGAAGCCGAGGCTGGTCAGTCCTTCGGCGATTCTCTCATAAGTTGGCCCATCCTTCACCATCCCCGTCATCTGACGGTTAATGGCCTCTTCGTTTGTGAGGGCGAGGAAGGCGCGCAATTCCTTGTCTCCCCAGTTGCTCATCTTTACAGGTGTCAGGTTTGCGTTTCCCTCTTGCTACTAGCTGCTCGCTAATTCCTGCTATCAGCTGTTTCCTGTTTATCTACCGCCAGTGGCTCGTGCAGCGTCATCAACAGCTCCTCCCACAAGTCTTCCACAGTCCCTCCCGTTGTGGAAGGCCACCTCGGTCTGTTTAAACTAAAAGGGTTCCGCCAATATGACTACCCTACGAGGCGGCACCTCAGATCAACTCGCCAATCCAGCTCTTGTGTCTAAACGCTCGCAGCTTGCTGGCAAAACGGCCCAACGTTCAAATCTGGCAGTGTAAAAGGGGCTCCTGTGACTTGTCTCCCATGATGATGGATCCTGGGGTTATTCTCACTTTAATCCTGTAAGGGACAGTTCACCCAAAAGCAAAGCAAGTAACTGTACAGCAGATCCAGCAGTACGCCACAGTTATTCAAGTCTCCCCCACACAACAACAAAAGACACCACAAAAAATCTGTCATTTTTCTTCATTTTATTAAAACATTTTCATTTATAATATATGACAAATATTCAGGGTAGCCTATATTTATTTTTCATTATCAAACCATGAGACGGTTATCTACTGTCCAGCACAACTGAATTATGACAACTGTATCAAGAGTATTACATTTAACTCAAAAAGAAAGGGGGGTGGTACATTAAAAATCAACATATTAAGCTTTTTGAGATGCTGCAGTTTGAAAATTTAATCTGGATTTACAAAGCTTTATTGAAAGTCAGGGTTGTTTTGTTCCTGCAATATCATTATCAGCAGACACTTAGCTGTGGATTTCCAATTGAGTGATGTTACCCCTCGATATAATACCCGGCAAGTATCACAATACCATTTACTAATATGGTACAGACGACTGATGAAGTTGTTGAGCAGTAGGAGAATACCGAAGCACTGATATTCCTGTAACTTGTTCTTTAAAATTAGTACACAAGAACATTTTTCTTTTTGCATTTCAGTGTCTCAAACATAATGTCTGCCATGTAAGGACTAGTGTGATATTTACAATACAGTACTATGATACTTAAAAATTGCTTTTATCAATATCGCAGGATACATATCATAAGAAGATTACCCTTGGCGTGGGGACAAGAATCATGTCTCTTTTTTGGCACAGGTATCATCCTACTCTACAGGGAGTGCATCTTTACAAACGTAAACAACATGTTGCATTTTTTTTGTGTTGTGTATCCCTCCCATAGGAATGCCAAGCATACTTCTATTTTCTTCCCTCTGCTGTGTGACCGTACCATGAGGGACAAAGTTTTACAAAAAGGAGTGAGAGACAACAGGGAAAGTTTCCAGAACTTGGAAGGGCATCAGTAGTCATAAGCTGCAAGAAAGAAACAGAAGAGCAGTTATCCACATCTGCTTTAGTTCACGAGGAAGAGGAGCATGCGATCCACTTCATAAAGAGAGGCTGAAATCCAGATAGGAGGTATCATGCATCACGCAGGCATGCAAATCACACCAAGGTGGTCTTACTTTCTATTGTGAGGATGCAGGTACTTGCTGCTGTGCCCCTGCTGTTCACAGCCTTGCACATGTACTCTCCCTCGTCCTCTGGGAAGGTCTCTGGCAGGTAGAGGCAGTACGTTTCTCCTCTGTCTATATACTGATAGTCCTCACAGTCTTGAAGCATCTCTCCCTCAAACCACCAGGTCACCTCCGGCTTGGGTTCCCCGGTGATCTTGACGGTGAATCGAACCGGCTCCGAGTCCACCACTGATTGATTTTTAAGGGGCTTTTTAAACCACGGAGCCCCCGATCTGGCATGATCGTCCTCGTCTTCGTAGGCTGCGGAGCCGTTGATGATGCTACCCTCGTCCTCCACATCATCCTCCCTCTTCTGCAAACAGATGATAAAAAGATCACAGACCACTGCCAGGATCAAAGCAACCTTAAACCAGACTACTGCTTTGCTTTAATGCATTAAAATGATCTTGCGTATATGGTCGTGAACATGTAAGATTTACTTTTTGGAGGGCAGCGTCAATCTCTTGCTGCTCAAACTGCATCCTCTGCAGCTTCTGCTCCTCTATCCTCCTCCGCTCCTCCTCCTCTCTGGCTTTGGCCATTTGTTGAAATCGGGCTTTCATATCCACCTTCTGTTTGAATGGTGACTCCTCTGCCCTCGCTGAAGTTGTTTCTCTTTCCTCATCTTCCTGAAAAACACAGCGAGTACAATAGATGATGCTGAACTAATTCTCCAAGGAGGGTCAACAGTTTTTGGTAATTGTAACATCTTGAGTTATTGACTTCTTACCTCCTGGAACCTCTCAGCTTCTCTCTCTTTGATTTCATCATCAATGGCCTTCCTCCGTGCTCTCTCCATCTCAATCTTTTTCTGGATTTCCTCTTCAGTCAACTGCTTGATCTTCTCAAATTTGGACTTGAGGTTCTTGGCCTGGATGGAGCCGGTTCTCTTGAGTTTGGTCAGTTCTTCGTACTCTTTGCTTACAACATCTGAGCTTTCATTCACCTCATCCTGTGAGATAGAAGCCAATTAGTTTTTTACATAGTTGTGAGAACTCCATAAGTGATGGGAAAAGTGACCACAATGTGCAATGACAAAGAAAATATGACATGTTATTCAAGTCAGCACTGACCTTGCCCATCTCTTGTCTGAGTTGTTCAAATTCCTGCTTCTCCTGCTCCAGCTTCTTTTTGCGTTCCTCTGCCTTGCGTCTCCTCTCAGCTTCCTCCTTCTCTTTCAGCAGCTCCTCGAAGTTCATCTCCAGTTTTTTAGGGTGCAGTGCTTCCTGAGAGTCACTCTTCACCATTCCTTCGTCCTCATCTACTACCTATACACACAAGTACAAACAGAGGAAGAGATTTCTGAATGGGAGTAAAATAACTGACCATCAAACTTCATGTTCATAACAGAGCAAAACAACAAACAAAAA